AAAGAGCTCCCAGACTCCATATGGGAGCTGGGTAGCACTCTGCAGTCCCAATATCCCATAACAGGTGAGCCATAGTTCCTTTTGGCCTTAAACACTCTGTATTACCATGTGCTCAAGAAATACAAGTTCTGCTATGTCAGAGGGGGACAGAAACTGCTCTGAAGCAGAGCTGCAATTCCAGGAGGGGATGGCTGAGTGCATGAGAAAGCAGTAAGTGTAGAAGGACCTTCCTTGGAGGAGCACATCCCCGCACACTATTGACAGGAGAAAGCATCCAGCAGCAGTGATCAGATGTCTCTAGGAAAAGGCTGTGAGGAAGGATGAGCCAGAAGGACTGAGAAGACAGCTCAGAGATGTCCATGGTTATGTCAGCTCAGCCATGGGCCACTCCAAGAAGCACCAGTCTGTGCTGAAGAAAGGAGAAGTGTTCCTGGTTAGAGGGACCAAGATTTGTTCCTAGACTCTCTGAGCTCACTGGGGAAGAGACACGTGTGTGCTCAAGTTCTCCTCCTGCCCCTAAGCAGCAAACGTGGGACAGATTCAGATGAAAACATTTCCCCTGTATTTGGATACAGCACTAAATGCATGCCTCCCGGAAAGCTAAGTAAATCAGTCATAAATTCAGGGCATTTCTTTCATTAAACTCCCGAGTTAGAAAGGGGTGAACACAGGCTTTTAAAGCTACTGCCTTTATAGATTTTTTTTTCCAAACAGAAAACAGTCTCACGTGTCCCATTATTTCCATACATATCAAAGGAGGGTGGAGATTTAACTAGCAATTTCTAAAAGATCTTTGTGCACAGAAGGGACGTATGCCAAAACGTGGGTGGTTATAAGCCCAAACACAAAGGAGAATACATCCACAGGCATTTTTCCCCTTGATCCATTAACGGGTCTGCATACCAGCCTCCTGAGCATATGAGAGGGACCTTGTTCAAAAGGTAAATGTATTCAGCAAGATGACAACAGGCAGCAAATAGCCCACATCCTTTATCCATGTTGGAGGCTCAGCAATGCTGGGGTTTTGTTGGGAGGCACTGAGAGTTGAGAAGCAGCCTCAGGGAAGGTATCCTCCTGAAGGAACCTGCTCAGGAAGCCTCTGCCACACCTAACAAAGGCTGCAAAGCTCAAGGTGGACACCTAGCTAAGGTCATCAGAACTCCAGCAGCTTTCCTTCTCTGCAGCATGCAAACCACCATCCAGCCACAGCAGTGTGCCCCATTGCAGGTGGCTATGAGGCCCCACAGAGACTCCCCTTTACCACATCCATGAGTGTCCTGGAGGAGCACATGCAAGTCTTCTCTTCAGCTGAGCCATTTGATTCCATTCAAATCAATGGCTGGTTGCACCAGCTGGAGCAAGGGTTCATCCTGGGCTTCCCAGGCTGATGGCAGGATGGCAAATCTGAGCAGACAGAAAGACTTTCAGATTCATTTGGTGCTGCTTTTATCTTGGAAGTTTCAGCTTGGTGTCCAGTGATGCAAAAAATAGGATACATATGAAACTAGCACTTACCACAAGAAAGGCCCCATTTTTTGTTAATATTTTAATGAAAGACTAAGCCAGCCAACAGAGATGAGGCACTTGGTGTGGCAGAGAGGTATAAGCATGGTCAAACTTTCAGAACCAACAAGGGCATGTCCATTCACTTCTCTGAGCTGCAAACCAGGTACTATGAGTGGTGCAAAAACACAGAGCATCCCATGGCCAGAAGTGGGCAGCTTTACCCTGGAGAGCTCTCCTTGCTTTTTGCTGCTCTTCAGTCAGCAATGTCTGGTCCCAGTGCTACTACTCACATTTTCAGACCTTGGAGACACTGAGCTCTGCAGGACTGGAACAGGGGGTTCCATCATGTGTAAACAGCCAAGAACAGGAACAAAAAGTGCTCTGGTACAAGTGCCTACAGGTGGGTTCAGTTTATAGTTTCTGCAGGACACTTTGATTGTTTCAACAGAGATTTTTTTCAACACTTCAGTGCTAAAGGAGCCTCTAGCCCCTGGGATGTGACTTCCACAGAAGTCACCCACACTCAGCACCAATGCTCAGGTTAAGGCTGTGTACAGCCTGTAGGATGGTTCAAATTTTATACAGATTGGTTGCAGACAGGGTTACATTTGAGATGCAACTAGAAAATGAGGCTCTGTGAGCTGAGCACTCTGCCTGTGCTCTAGAATTTAGAGGCAGCCATGCCGGCTATCTCATCTGAAGTGACCAGCCACGAGATGCTGACAAGGCTCACATGTTATAATCTCTTCTGCTAGCAAAGTATGCCTTCAGAACCAACTGCCCATGGGGTAGGTGTCCAGCAGCACTGCCAGAGGGGCCTATGCTACAGGAGGCTGTTTTTCAGAAAACAAGTGCTGACACTCAGCATAGAGTCCTCCTTGGACACCTGCATTGTCTCACTGTAAGCATCTGCTGTCTTCCATTCCCAGAATACATTTGGCAATTTCTACAAGGAGATACCTAAATGCAGCTGGTCTGTCACCCACATTTAGCGATTATTTTTATTGTTACAATGAACAGCATGTTCACCTGCCCAGTGCTTTTGAAAAGAAGCTGGGAAAAATGCAAGTTGTCAACCTTGTTACCCCAGAGGAGGTGCTTTCAAACTGCTTCCATGTGCTTAGGATTATGTCTCTGGACTTTGTCTGTGTTCCAACATCTTGCTCATGGTTTTGGCAGAGAAATAAAGAAAGAAGATCCCCAATGCTTAAAGCTCTTTGTGATTCCCCGACTCATTTCCTTCCCACCCTGGGAGAAGACATAACTGGAGGATAAAAGAAAGACCCTATTTTCTGCTGAAATCCATCCTCTCTTCTACCAGCATACAGATGCCACCAGAACTTCTCTGCAGGAAGCACCAGGAAAGGTGAATCCTGGGAATACCAGGGAATGAAGATAGATCCCAAGTCAAAAAAGCCATGATGGGTGAGCAAGGTAGACAGAGTCCAGCCAGGCTCCTGCCCTGCTCTCACCATGGGGTTTCCACAGCTCCAGAAGTCACTTCTAGTGGAAGTGGGCTACTTTGGCCTAAACTGTCTTACCCATTTGGTGCTTTGGGCATCTCCCAGCTGCCACAACCTTATATCCCCATACACACATCAGCTCTAACACTGAAACCCCATGAAGAGGAATAACCTGCCTCACAGAGAGCCAGAAGTGGTGCTTTGCCAGACCTCCATCAGGAGCCAAGTCTTCAAGAATCCTGCAGGCTGCTGGAGGCCATGGAAGGTCTCCTGCAGGCCAGCAGACTGACACACATTCACTGAGATCCAAATCTTTTGCCTGCAGGTTTGTTTGATTTAGCAGGACACAAAAAAACCCTCAAGTTAGTCAGAACAGCTTGGAAGTACAATCACAACTTGATTGTTCACAGAAATGCACCTCCCAAAATGTAGATTGGTCTACTACAGCATTGAGAACAGATACCTGCCATGGATCAGAGATGTCCACAATGGGGCCAGCCCTCATAGTTGGGTCTGGTGCAGCTTGGCCTCTGGTTCCTATTCCTTCCAGCTGCACTCAGCTCTTAAGAGGCACACGATCCTTCCTCAGCAGTGATACACAGTCCTTAAATGCCCAACCACCTGGACTGGTCATGGCACTCCTCCACACAAAGGCCCCTGCTTCAGATAGCTTTTGCATCACACATTAAAACAACACCAAGGAGGGGGGCTGAAGCACTTGGGAATCAGAAAGACACCTCCAACTTGAAGGAGCAGAGTAGCAGCAGCCAGTCTTTGCCTCTGGCCTCCCAGGGAAGAATTTCACAAGCACTCTCCAAGCCCATATGGTAAAATGCAGCCCATGAGATTGCAAGGGATGGCCTCAACCCTGCACAAGCAGTGCTCTCCTTTGATTTCAACTTCATAATATAACCTGCACAGACCAAAGATTGCCAGGAGCACACTAAGCAAGGGGTGAGGGAAAGAGGTCTTCTGTCAGGGATGGAGAAGCAGAAGTGAGATGCCTCCACAGAAGGATAGAGAGGAGAGTACACCATGGCTCTGACAGGCATGTGAGGGCAAAGAGCACCACAGGATTCTCTGCAGAGGAGCTGAAGCATGGTAAAGGGAAAAGATGGGTCTGTAAACTTAGCTCAACTTGCAGAAGTCAGAATTCAACTCATCCCTCAATGAAAGCCAAGTTTCTGCAAGCTCAGAACCTGAACTTTTAAAGTCAATGCAAGGCACAGCAGCAATGCAAGCTGCTTGTCCTCGTGGATTTTGTTCCCTCTGCTGTGGGGAAGCAGCCCACAACATAGCAGGACACCTTCAGGAGATTTGGGGCTGCTGGGCACATGGATCTCAGCCTGAGCCTAGGAGCAAACCATCAGAAACTAGACCGGTGCTCAGTGGGATGTCACCACAGGGCCAGCAATCCCTGCAGTCACTGATGGCCCAGGGCTGGGGACCTCTGTTTGCAGGGCAGTGCCAGTGTGGCTGGGCAGGGGATAGCCCTGCAGCCACTCCCAAGGAGTCTGGGTGCTCTGCTGCCCACTGGGCTCACCATCCTTTCCCCTCTCCAAAGATCCCCGTGTGCAGAACTTGACACTGAAAAGGAAATTTCCCTGCCCAGCTCCAGGGGTTCTCTGGATGCCCATCCTGTGCAGGAGAAAAGGCTCTGCAAGAGGGCAATGCCCAGAGCCACAGAGCAAGAGTGGCAAAGAGTGAGGGCAGGAGGAGAGCCCAGCATCCAGACTGCGCAAAAGACAAGGCTCTACCCGAGCTGACCCATCCCAGCTTCTGGCTCCAGTGCTGCAGCCCGACAGGCACCTCGCAGGGGTCAGTGCCAACAAGAAGTTTGTGTCCCTGCAGCCACCGCCCAGGACTGGCACCAAGAGTACAGTGTGCCACTCGAGTAACGGGAAATGCCAAAGAGCTGTTTCCCACTCCCGGCATTAGCGTCGTGCGCTGGCTCCAGGCAGGCTGCCCCGATAGCAGCTTCGTCCCGCACAGCCCTGCTCGTGCAAGAGCCCTTCGCAGAGATTTCCTTACCATGTTCCCGGCCTCCTTTATTCCCCCTCACTTCCAAAAACAGCGGTTTTTCTCTTTTTCCTCCATGTGTGCGACGGGGCGTCTCCTCTCCCCTCCGACGTGAACCACCGAAGCACTTTGAGTTCTGGACTGTAATCCAAGCCCTCACCGCCCCCAGCACAGCTCCAACTAATCTAACTCATGACACTACCGGGGCTGAGCAGGGGACCTCGAAGGTTTCTCTGACAGCCAACTCCAGCGCTAGACGGCAGAAGGGCATAGTAAGAGCAGAGTGCCGCATCCCCCAGCCCTGCGGCGACCTCACGGACACGGGCAGAGCCAGAAGCGCTCCCGGGCTGCTCCTTACGGCATCGCTGCTCTCCGCGTCCCTCGGAGCGCCTGGCCCGCCGCACGGACCTGCTTAATGCAGACGTGTCGTGGCAGAGAGCTGCCTTCGCCCGGGAAGATCTGAATAGCTGCTAGAGGAAAATAAGGCAGGCATCCCGAGAAGGTCTCCAGCTTCCCAAAGAGGTTTCCAGCAAAATCCTCCCCCCTTGCCTCCTCTCGGCTTGCTTTTCTCTAAGTCCAGGGAAGTTTTCCACTCCGCGAGATCCTGAGGCACCGCCGCAGGTTAAGTAAAATGCCGAGAATACAGGGAGAGTGCTCTGAAATATTGTTTTTCTAACTTCTAGAAGGAAAACAGAGAGCAGTGACCGCTTCAGGCAACGGAAACAAACTGCATCGGGATCACGCAAGAGATGTAGAGACCTCCCCCCCTCCCAAATGAGTAAGTAATTTAACACGGCAAGTTTCTCCACCCCTCCATTAATTGTTTAAGATGGCCAGGGGCCAAAATACTGCCCGAGCAGTGGGGAAGGTCACCAAACAGGCAGGCAGCAGCCTCCAGAAGTGACAACGGGAAAGGGCAGAGCCACAGAGGCGGAGAGAGAGGAGAGAGGCAGGTGCCGCGGGGCATCCCAGGATCTGCTGACACACAAAGGCTTTGTGTGACGGGAAGCAGGGCGGGAAGTGACACACAGGCAAAACCTGGGCACGAGATGCAGGGCCTGGGACCAGAAACTGCCTCCCCAGCCTGAGCAGTGCATGGTCTCAGCAGCCTCGCTTGGAACTGACCCTTCATCAAGGAGTTCACAGTGCTGGAACTTGGTTGTCCCCACTTATGGGAGAGGTCACACAAACCAATCCATCCCCAAGAGCCAGGGTGGCTCAGGCAGGATGTGAGGACCTACAGCAGAAGGGAAGACATCTCCTTCTCCTGCTTGTACAAGTAGAACAGCACTGGGCACTTGCCTGCTGAAGATTGAGCAACTGCTACCAACACCTCTGCTGCCTTGGCTCAAGGAGCAGAGTCTCACAGCCTTCCCAAGCCCTGCTCCACAGGGCCAGCAGCAGAGGCCATGCTCGAGACCACCTTCAGATACTCCTCTCCCAGGGAGGACTGACAACAGTTTGCCCTAAAACGCCTTTGCATATGATGGCCTCATCACATGTTTCCAGACCCAAGCAGCAACTGGGAGTTTGAGCAGCCCCAAAGTCAACCATTCAATCCACCAGCTGCTTGGTGTGATGCTGCATTTCCTTAAGCCAGAGTGATGTCCTGCTAAAAGGGGCTATGACACTGACAGTGACCAGGGCTGAGCAGCTGCCTCACTGTTCAGCACCTGGCTCTCAAAAAGCCCATGCATTCAGAGGCTCCCCCATGGCCTCAAACAGCCTGTCACCTTCTCCCCACAGCAGCACTGCTTCTGCAGCCAGTGTCCATGTCAGATGACAGCAGCTGCTAATGCCAAACTGGGTGAAGGACAGCATCCCTGCCACCTTGAGTATTAACAACCCAGTACTGGCACAACCTAGTTGTTGTCATTTGCAACAACTAATTTGAGATCTTAGATCTTGTCCGTGCATGCAAGAGAGCCTTTATTTGCTCCTCATATTCATATCAGGAGGAGGAGGAGCCTGGCATACCTCCCCAGCCGAGCCACTGACCACAGCTTTCAGGGTGTGTACAAGGCTGCATTTGCAGAGTAGCTTTGCCCTTCATCTATTCCCCAGCACATCTCCCAGGCAATGAGCACGGCTACATTTGGCTAACCTTTGCAATATCTTCCTGCAGGTGCTTGCTGGGAGTCTCCCTAGGGACTGGCCCACTCCCAGGGAGGAGGGAGCACCAAGAGCCATGTCTCTGCAGCACACGACTGACCATGACAAGCCCTGTGCTATCAGAAGTACCAGGCTATTTCTGTTGGAGGCATATCCTCACCACAGAATAAAAGGAGGTAGAAGAGATCCAACATGCCTCTCATGCCCAGATGTTTTATGGAAAACTGTAGAAACAGTTTTATGTATTGTTTCTACAACTGCAGCATTACATGTATATTTCATTTCAAGAGGCCATGGCTGCCCAGGGCTAACCCAAATTGCAGAATCATAGAGAAATCCTCAGCTGGGAGGGACCCACAAGGATCAGATCCAATTAATTTTTCTGCACAGGACAACCCCAAAAATTATACCATGTGTGATATACCGGCCTTGCATGCAACTATTTTTATCCAGCCAACAGGTCACTGCAGTTACCCTGGGGTCTGCAGAGGGACCAGTCTCCAAATAAAGATCTGGAGTCTCAGAAAAGTCTGGTAATCAGCAGCCTGGGTAACAAGCCTGGGCACTTTGGGGCTATTCCAGCAGGCCAAAGCTCCTGCTCCATCAGGGGGGCTACTGCACAAGCCAGGAGCTACCTCAGCTTTGAAACAGAGACATGCTCCCCAGGCAGCACAAAGAGCAATGCAGAGCCAGGTAGGGCTAGGACATCCCCAGAGCCCATGGGGATGAAGGGAATAGAGCAGAGAACCTGCTTCCATGCTGTTACTGAACTGGTCAGGTCTCATATACTCTGACCTTTGGCAGCAGATCCAGGGTGAGCAGCTTTTGGCTTTCCTGTCTCCTTCAGGTGGCTTGCACAGGCCTGGGAGCACAAGGTTGTCATCTCCTTTAGTTGTGAATTACCTGCTAAGATACTGTCAAGCCACCTAATTCCAGCTCTCTGATGGCCAGATAGAGGAAAGTGGCACTTTTCTCACAGAAAGAGAAAAGTGGTGTAGGAGCTTGCAGCATCCCCATAGACAGATGAGGAAGGCACCATAGAGGTACTCAGAGCCTTGTTCCTATCCCATTTTCCATGACAAAAGAAAGCTCTCCACAAGCTGTCAAGCCAACACCACTCAGAAGGATACAGGGAAATTGGCAGCACCATTTATAGAGGCTGCCAAACACAAGAGCAGCTTAGAGCCCAATCTCACACCTCCTCCCTTTCCTACACTGCACTTAAGGCTCAGGAGCACCTTCCCCCATACGGATTTCCAGACTGAAGAGCTCGGCTGAGTTCAGCTCACCCTCATCCCAGTCAGAGACAGTGACGTGATTTCCTCTGCCATGGCACAGGGCTGAGGGAACATCGCACTGCTGTTTACTCATGGCTGGATCCTAATATATTTTCCTTTATTTTTAATTGCAAAGTGGCCTTTCCCTTTTCTGCATTGTAGATCCATTTCCCGCACAAGCACATGGGAGACAGCTGTAGCCAGCACTTCAGTGGGTGTTAAAAAGCCCCTCTTGACTGAGGCTGACAACAATGCCACGCTTGTTCCCAGCACAGTGTCACTCTGTCTCCTCGCAGAAGCAGCTCCTCACTCTCGCACGAGGCCTGTGTGCTCCTCACGGTTGGTTTAATTGCTGAAGTCACTGCAAAAGGCTGCTGTCATCCATGCTGGCACAGATCTGGGTGTCCCAGCTTCCCATCCAGCAGACCCAGGTCCTTTGCATGGACTGAGGGGCAATTTCACACCAAGGGGACTGCTTTGGTACCCACCTTCAGCAGCAGCTGACTATTGCTAAACACAGCCTGTCCTAGTGGTGAATTACAGCAAAAGGCAGCAAATGCTGACATTAGGAAGGATGGGAGACAACATTTGAAGGCTGTGGGTGCTCCTCAGTGTTGAAAGAATAGGAGGTAGAAGAGGGATCAGTACAACTGTTCTGAAAATTTCAGAAGTTCTAATTTCAGACCCTCATCTCTTTTCTCTCTCTTCCTTTCTCCTTTCCTGGATCTGGTTTCTGGAGTTGCAGTATTTCTCAAGTGCCTAAAGCACTTGAAGTGCCATAACCTAGAGCTGGGAGAGAGCACTGACAGAGGTAGGAGGCAGGGGAAGGACCTCTGCCTTTGGGTCACCACTTAACAGAGTTCTGCTTATTTTCAGTTGTGCAAATCAGGAAATGCTCAATTCTTTTATGAATAGTATTCAGCTACGCTGGAAGCAACTCAAGACAGATGTTTCAGATGCCAGATAAGGACATCTCCTGACCTGGGGGAAGTTGTGCAATATGGATGTTAGCAGGATGATTACATTACTGTGGCCAACAGCTCTTAGGAAAATACCCCCATGAGCTCCATGTTAACTTAGAGTGATCACTGGTGCAGTCCTCAGCACCACACAGGGAATCTCATGTGGCCACAGGAATGAATGAGGGAATGAAGGTCCTGGGAATGGGCTATGGTAGAGCACTACTCCAGGATACATGGCTCCTGCTAACCCATTGATATGTGGATGTCTCTGAATCTACTTCCAGGCCTCTCATCACCAGACTGGGGTTCTCCAGCAGCTCCCATGTCCACAGACATAGCAGTGCAGATATCTCATGGATTAAGCTGTACCCTGAAAGGAAAGGTATGTTACCATCCCACCAAGCTATCCACGATGAACCCTCATAGAATATTCTAACTTGGAAGGGATGCACAAGGATTATTGAAGTCCAGCTACAGCCCTATATCCCTTCAACTTGGCAGCCTACAAAAACATGGGAAGCCACCAAAAAGCAGCATTACACCCCAACCAGAACAAGTCCTAGAACCAGTGATAGATTTTGCTCAAAACAGGGTTTGTGAAAGAAAGGCAACAAGTGATGCAGCAAGTAAAGCTGCAAGCACCCGTTTGTACCAACTAAAAAAGGAAAGAACTAGCTCTCTCCCCCCATTAGGGAGACAAGAACAGGTTGTATACAGTTTAATAACATTTAAACCTTTATTTCAGATCACAAGTAAAGCAGGTCTTGGCTTCACAAAAGCACATCTTGGTTTAACTAATTAATTTGATAATCCGCTATTTGCAATCCTCAGGAGACATTCAGCTTCTAAAGCAAGTAATTACCACTAAGTGGCAACCTCTTTGTGAGGCCCAGTCTGATTAGGGAAAAAAAATTTCTTAAGCCAGAAATATAATCACGGTGTGATTTCCCAGAAGGACTGAAGGAGAGCCTACATAACAACAGCTGGTCATGCTCACCATCTGAAGGAACAGAAGCAACTCAATTACTAAGTCTCCAGCTACAATTCAAGATGTTGTTCAGTGCCACGTGCAACCATGGCCTGCAGTTAACCATCAGGAAGTCTTACAGGAGGTATTTTGTAGGGATAGAAATCCAGAAAGTCCCACTTGGGGGGTTCAAATACCCATGTGTGCCACAAGAGAAAGAAGACAGAGGAATATTTTTTTTAATTCACACATCAGGCTGGCTGCAGCACATACTGAGAGGCGATTCTCCCCCTCTGTCCTCACGAGCCCTGCCTTGGAATACTGCATCCAGGCCTGAGATTCTCAGCACAAGAATGACACGGACCTGTCAGAGCAGGTCCAGAGGAGGCCACAAAGATGATCCTAGGGCTGGAGCACCTCTTCTATATGGACAGTTTGAGAGAGTTAGAACTGTTGAGCCTGCAGCAGAATAGGCTTGGAAGAGATCTTAAAGCCCCTTCCAGTACTTAAAGGAAGCTTACAATAAAAAGAGAGAAGTTTTTATGCAGGCAGAGTGATAGGACAAGGTGGAATGGTTTTAAGCCAAAAGAGGAGAGATTTAGATTAGCTGTTAGGAAGAAATTCTTAACTCAAGGGACAGTGAGGCACTGGCTCAGGTTGCCCAGAAAAGCTGTGGATGCCCCATCCCTGGAAGTGTTCAAGGAGCAGTTGGACAGGGCTTTGAGCAACCTGGTCTAGTGGGTGGCATTCCTGACTGTGGCAGGGAGGATGGAACTTTGAGGTGCCTTATAACCCAAACCATTCTATGATTTTAAGTCCAAGCTCGTAGTGTGCCGTCCCACAGAGAAGCAATGCAAGCAGGTGAATATCAGCCTTACAGCCTCTGCCCAGATATGAAGGCACACCTTGATGACACACAGTGTCTTCCCAGACAAGCCAGCTGGACTCAATACATGCAGAGTACTTGCTGGTTAGACTAGCTCTGGGCATCCCCAAGTGCCCAGGGTTTTGGCTCATCTGGCATCAATGACTGCCAGAGTCCACAGGACAAAGTCCTGCTTCTGCACTCATCCAAGACACCCATCTCAGTCTGAGCAGCTTTGGGCTCCTTTGAGCCAGGGAGGACACACACAGAGGTGCCCCCAGGCCTTATGAAGTGGCCGTGCTGTACACCACTCTTGGGTTAATGCTGCTACAACAGGCACCAGAGACTCCTCCCTGAAGTCTTGAATGCAGCCAGCACAGGTAGGAGCAGGGCTTGGATGGAAACCCGGGCTCCTGCCCAACCAGACACCATCCCAGTGCACCCACACCCTGAGGGTGTTTCCCCACTGCAGTGGGCTCCCCTCTTGGCTGCTAAGTCTCAGCATTCCAGTGCTTTGAGTACTAGGCAGGTGCACTGGTTAGTAGGATGTGACCATACTGGAGAAAATATCCCAACCCCCTGCAAGAGCCTGTAGGACACAGAGCCAGGCAGGGACACACCTCTGTGAATGTGGAGTCAAGAGAGCTTAAATGGTTTAAGAGGAGCTACTTGTCTGTCTCCCTAGAGTTTAGGCATTGCCTGCCTTCCCTGAAAACAAAGTGCTCTTGGCTTAGAAATACAGCTGTGGTTTCAGGACTGCTGCTTCAAAACCCACCACAGTCTCTGAACAGAAGAACAGGTCAGCTTTTTCTGTAGAGCAGCCTAAAAGTGATCCATCTCTCTCCAGTTCCCAAGTATTTAATGGCACAGAAGAGTCATCTGTTTACCTTCCCTCCTGGCAGTGATGCTGCATGCCTTTAGCCCCACAGCACATGTTTACTGTACTCTCTGAGACAGCACGCTCACCTCTGAGCTAGACGTGCCAGCGGGCACCCACACCCTTCCTGCCCCGGCCCCTCTCCCACAGACAAGGGAGTCATGGAACACAGGGTCACACACTACTGCAAATTCCACCCTCAGTCACGGCTGCCAGGGCCTGCTCCTCTTTCCAGGTCTACTTGGCAGAATAAGTGTTGCAATGACAGAAAGACATCCCCCTCCATGGCTCCACACCACCAGGAGCCCCTCACTTGTGTCCCTGCTCTGTGCCCAGTTCATGTCTGAGCAACCAGCACTGACGAGACACCTGCCCAGCCTGCACCAAAAGAAGTGAGTACATCCCTTGGAGAATGCCACTGAGCACCAACCATTACCAGACAACGACTGGGACACATTTCTGATCTGGAGACCCATCCCTTCTCTTCCCAAAACCAACCTAAATCCAACTTTGTCCTGCTAGGAGGCAGGGCTTGCAGCTCTAACCAGAGGAGCAAGAACCCCCTCTCTCCAGCCACTGGCTGCAGTCTCTGCTCCACAGTTTGAAGAGCCAGGGCCAGCTCTCAGATCCTACCTGAAGTGACAGTCAGGGACTCTCCAGGAGCTTTGATCCCCTGAACTGCTATTCCCCTGGCTGCACACTCTGCCAAGCTCCCACCCAGCCCCTCCAACCCTCCCAAACCCCACACTTACAGCCAGCATTTGCAGAGCCTCTACCCAGCAGATACCAGCAGATCTTGCAAACCATTCACCCATGGCAGAATATCTCCAGAGAAGGAAAGCTCTCACCTGCCTGCAGTTTCCTTCTCCAGAGCAGGCAGGCAGGCAAGCAGCTGAGTTAGCTCAGCACTCCCTGGGGCAGAGCAATAGCCCCAAGATGCATCTCCAGCTCCAGTGAGTGCCTTAGAGAGCCGCATGGGCGTTCCCTGGGACCAGCTGTCGGGGTGGCTGTCACAGCTGGGCTGTGTTGTCCACTGAACTCAAGCAGTCCCACTGTGAGTCCTCCAGGTGCTTCTCAAAGCACTCTTAATCTGACTGGTATTTGCAACAGGGGAATGACAACCTGCTCAGGTCTGACAGTTTCCCCAGACACAGAAGAGACTTGCTCTGTCCCCCTCTAGTCTTGCCCAGCTGGTAGCAAAGGGGAAAGATCTCAGTCCTCCAGCAGCTCTGCAAGGCTGCAGGCTGATGTTCAAGTCACTGCAATGGGCAAAGAGCACTTTGGGGTCGGGGTCTTCTCCCCAGGGAAGTCTAGAGACAACTCTGCTGACTGCAGATTCAGAGCACTGAGAAGGCTCCTTATATGCCAGGGAAGGGCTGGTTTGACAGGGATAGGAGCAGTCTGCCATGAAACATCCACAGCTGGCAATTAGAGGAGTGAACTTCAGGGAATGCCTACAGCAAGGATGCCAGGCAGGAACAAAGAGCAGGTGGGACACAGGGCACAGGAGGAGGTGGTGTGATGTGGATCATAGCTGCTGTACCAGGACCCTTTGTTCCCAGTGTGGGCTGGAGGCAGAGGAAGCACCAGGAAAGCAGCAGATGACTGACATGATGTGAGCCTGGTTCCAGCAGGGGTGGGCACCTCCCCTCCTTGGCACCAGGGCTGGAGAGCACCAGCAGGAAATGTTGTGATTTGATGCCATCAGCAGCAATAACAATGTGCCTCCTGAAGGAGATGAGCAGCTTCCCCTTCAGACAGGCAGGGCGGAGGGCTCCTGCCTCCTGTCAGCAATCTGTCCTCGCTCCCTCTCACTTCCATAATGTTGCTGCTCTCTTCCTCCTTGCAGAGGGATCTCTGCTCCCAAATTGAGACTGGGTAAGGGCAGCCACGGGAAGGTTCAAGGAGGCTTAGACCCCTCTGGGCTTCAAACAGAACTGTTAGACTGGGGCCATGAGCCTTTGGAGGGGTCACAAGTGGGTCAAGAGCTTCCTCCCCACCACAGAAACACACAGGTCCAAGTGTGTGCTTTTTGCTGCTTTTCTTTCTTTATAGAATCGTACAATGTTAAGAAGTTGGAATGGACCTTAAAGATAATTCTGTCCCAACCCCTCTTGCCATGAGCAAGGACATCTCCCACTAGACCAGACTGCTCAAGGCTTTATCCAAAGTGGCTTTGAACAGTTCCAAGGTTGAGACAACTACCACCACCCTAGGCAACATGTTCCAGTGTCTCACCACCCTCACAGTAAAAGAAAGTTTTGATTTTGGGACATATTTTGCAGCCCCTGCCTGCGTTTGCTGCCGGGTGAGATGAAGGTGTCTGAGAAAGTGTGGCTGACTGAACCTGGACATCAGGAGAGCGGGAGGGAGCTGGGCAGCACCTTGGGCTGGCACACCAAAGGAGGCCTGAAACTACCACATGTGTGTTCTCTTTTTCCCTTAAGACTACCCGGTTAGGGAATCCCCGGGGCCTTTCAGCCGCGTTTCGCCGCACCCGGCCCGCCGGGGGCTCCCTGAGGGGGCGCGGCCGCCATCTTGGCCTCGGCGCGGGGCGACACCTGCTGGAGGCGCTGGGCAGCGCGCCCGCTGTTCCGACCGCTCCCCCCTCCCGCCGTTCCTCCCTCCCGCCGTTCCCCCCGCCGCTCCCCCCTCCCGCCGCTCCCGGTTCCTCTCCCGGCCCTCGGTGTGTGACCCTCGGTGTGTGACCCTCGGTGTGTGACCCTCGGTGTGTCACCCTCGCCGGAGGGGAGATGCTCCCCTACACCCCCATCCCCCCGTCCCCACCGCTTTGGGGGCAGTTTGTTTTCCTTTGCACAAGCGACACCCCACGTGGAGCTGTATTTATACACAAATCCAAGCACAGCGAGGTAGCTGCCTGACTTTTTCCCCTCTTCATTGCACTCCTCAGTCTGTAATTTCCTGTTTGCTTCTAAAGCTATTTTTACTAAGGAAAAAAAACCCGTTAAACCTTTTTAACAGTTCTATCTGTTCACTAGCAGAATAAAGCAAAGATAGGAACCTAGCAGGGATCGTGGATTAACTCTCCGGCAGCAGCGTGTCCCACCTGCTTGCTGCACAGCCCTTCCATCCCAGCACATGTGGCTGGTGCTCCTTCCCCAGCCTGCTCCCGCTCGCCAGCCCCGCACCACAACATGGGGAAAAAAAAGAAGCAACTTTGAAGGCTAGTTAGTTATTTCTTTCTCTGTCTTTCTAGGGTACCTTTCTGAAGCTTTTGCCAGCTTTCTCCATAAATAGAAGAGGGTAGGGATGTCTACTGAAAATAGGTGTATCTACATGCACATATGTGGTAGAGAAGAGAATATCCTGGCCCTTAGGAGACTGGGATTTCTGAGAGAACAGGCAGGACCCAGGAAAAATCTGGAGGAGGTGATTCCTGCACAAGCCATACACAGTCCCAGCATCAGCCATGCCTACAGGAGAGGTCTCAAGGCAGATCTCAGTTCATCCAGCTGCCTGTGAGAGCCTCAGAGACCCAAAACTGCCAGGGAGCCACACACGGCGAGGCCACAGGCGGGTGCACAGCCAGAAGCCAACTTCCCCCAGCCAGTCAAGGAGCCAAAGCAATGCTTTAAATGGCTCTCCACCTTCAACAGTATGGGGTTAGCTGGGCTTCAGGAGCCAAAGCTTGTGTGCAGGCAGGGATTGCCCTGCATTGCTGTGCCAGAGGAAAGCAGAGATACAGCACAGCTGCTGCAGAGTTTGGTCACTACCAGCACCCTGTGGCCTTTCTAAGCCCTTCTTCCTGGGCTGCCCACAGTCTCGAGATGACCTGTGGTCTGATGTAGACCAGACCAACTGGGCTGGTGGCCACCTCCCCAGAGTGTCCTCAGCACCCTCCCTCCCTGTCCAGCTAACCCACCAACACGTTTCATTTACCTTCAGGACAGCCTGGATGTGTGGCCACAGATGCCAGGAGAAGATGAGATGAGAGGAGCCCAGGTGGCTTCTTCAGGGATCCCTGCCTTCCGAGAGGCTATGAGGAGCAGCTATGCCTGGCTGCAGGGAAAATCACAACTCTTGCATGTGGGGTACTCATAAAATCAAAGCCATGTTGGCTTCCACTCTGGCTGTTCTGCAGAAATCCCCAGGAGCAGCAACCTCATCACGCAGTCCTCAGGGATTCCCACAGGTTTATTTGCTCCTCCAGGGAACAGCAAGGAAGTCCGAGCCACGAAGGAAGGTGTGGGTCACCCCACCCAGCTCCTGCTGACCCAAAGATCCCTCTGGTCTTGTCTGTCCTCAGCCAGTCCGCGCTGCAGCCTGTTCCTTGCACAGCAGGGCTGTAGGCAAAGCTTTCTGGGGAAAGGCACCGGGTGGCACAGCCGCTGGGGACAGTCCCCAGCCCTGCGGGGAGCCCGGGGCCGCTCAGCGCCGGCAGCCGGCGGGCACAGCCGAGGGGCTGGCTCCACTCGAGCCGGAGGGATGCAGGGCTGAGCACAGAGGCTCTCCCATCCTGGCCGCTCTGCCCTGGAACGCAGCATGGGAACCACTGCCCAGAGTGAATCTGTTCCTCATTATCCGCCCTGGCTGCCGACTGATCCCGGCTCCGTCACCGCTGCGGCACATCCCGACCCGCTCGCATCCCTCAGCCCGGCGAATTCTGCTCAGCTTCACCAGCCAGCAGCGGGGCTGACCAGGGGCAGGGCTGGCATCCCCCTCCGGAGGGAATGCCACAGGGAAAATGGATTGTTCCCTTCGCCAACAGGCAGAGGAGGCTCCCAGTGAAAGCAGGGAGCAGGGATGGCTGCTTCAGGTGCGAAGAGTGGGAAGGCAAATGCAGAATTCAGGGGAGGTGTTCAAGTCTGATCGTAGGTGAGATGGATGTCTGGACAAATGGACATGAGGAGGCAGGAGCAAGGAACAGACTGATGTGTCTCCAAAATATTTGTA